ATTCAGGACAATTTATTTTTTGAAGCAGCTCAAACAAATTGTACCAATCACTTTCAATAAAAAAAACACTGAAGAGCAAGAGAAATCTCAGGGCCTGGAGAGGTGTGTATAGAAAGCTGAACAGTGAGTGACAGCAGCAAATGACAGCACTTTACCACAGACTCGCTTTTCCCTTGTTGGTGTGAGGGGAATGAAGACAAGCCGATCAGAGAGGCCGCTGCCACCCACCCGTTTGCAGTTAAATTACGGGTTGGGGTGAGACGACTTCCTGCGGTGCTACGCCGCTGTTTCTGTAGACCAGCAGTCAACACTTCACAGTGAGATGAATGAAGAGGAAAGGTGTCGTCAGTATGATTTGTCAACTGTTTTAAAAGGTTTGAGGCAGCATGGGGGGACACTTTTTGAAAAAGGGCAGGTAGCCTACTTCAGTGCAAGCTTGCCTTAAAGGACAAGTTCAGTATTTTACACTTAAAGGTGCAAAACGCAAGTCTCTGAGTTTTTGCAGAACTACGCCCCCTCTGGCGACAAGCGAAACTGCAACCAGAGTTGTGCACGCTCATGGACCACACGCATCTTTTATTGGATATGTTTTATGTTTCATGTTGTACTATTCTTCCGAACACAATTCCTAGTTTATGAAACTGTTCACTAACAATGGTAGTAAAACCAATTCTGATTGTACATGTATCTAGCTTACGCTAAAGCATTACACATTTTACGCATCGGCATTTGTTGTCATACGTAGATTGGCCGTATCAAACATTAGAGACTGGACTATATCTTACCGTTTTATCAAGAAAAAAGCCAACTGAGGATCCCGTTTGAGACCAAGAGCAGACCGGAGATCTCTCCATTTGTTGAATGCCTTCCCGTGGTTGACTCTCGTCTTACTCCGACGCCTGTCTGACTCCAATTTGGACCTTTTGGTGGCACTAGACAAAATTGTTCTTTTCTTTACTTTATGTGTAGTTTGCGTTGGGGTTTGGAATGGACTACAAGCCGGTCTCTTTGAATCCATCTTCTACCTTTGACGCACGAGTTGTCTTCGCTGATGCGGAGAATGGCGGCGCCGGCGAATACACAAACCTGCCAGACATAGCCTGGTGAGCGTGAACCCGCATGACGTCACACACAGTCTCAAATTCAGGCCCGAATCCCTCTTATATATTTTACTGTACAGGATTATAGAGGCAATCTCAGTGTGCAGAGAAGGGCTCATTCAGCCCATCATGCAGTTCTTTAAGCATGTATAGGATAGAAAAACAGGTATTTTTAACATGAAAAGTTGCGTAATGCACCTTTAAAGCCTGTTTTAAGATCGTTTCTGATGAAATAGAACGGTTAAAGGGATGGTTCACTTTGAAATTAATTTTTGGTATGTTTTAGCTTACCTCAAGGGCATCCAAGATGTAGGTGTCTTTGTTTCCAGAGTAGTTTCAATTTTGATATTTTTAGGTCAAACCGTTCTTGTGTGTCAGTCTTATAATGCAGGTCTATGGTCACCACCTCAAAGAGCATGCACAGAGATGTCCAAATTAAACATGATTTAATGACTCGTAAATGTAAGTACACATTGATGGCCTAAGACACGAAACGAGCGGTTTGTATGAGAAAACGAACAGTATTTATATCGTTTTTACCTCTTGTAAACACAGCCAGGTCCAAGTGATCTGAGGGCGCGGGCGCTTCGGTCTGCGCAAGCGGCGGCAGTGATCTCTCGCGCGTGTACGTCACTCATTGTTTACACAGAGATTTCGGAAGTGTTACCTTTCACTGTGAAGATCTAAACATATTTAGATATACAGGAAATCGCAATGGAAGACGATTTCGATATATCAACAGACAACGTTGATTTTTTTTTTTTTTTTTTGGAAGAGATCACTTCCGGTGCTTTCCGGCGCTTGCGCAGACCCTCAGATCACTTGGACGTGGCTGTGGTTACAAGAGGTAAAAACGATATAAATACTGTTCGTTTTCTCACACGAACCGTTTGTTTCGTGTCTTAGGCCATCAATGTGTACTTACATTTACGAGTCATTAAATCATGTTTAATTTGGACTTGCATGCTCTTTGAGGTGGTGACCATAGACCTGCATTATATAACACTGACAGACAAGAACGGTTTGACCCACAGGGGTGCAAAAATCACTGCAAAAGATGCTTTCCAACAGGTTTTATCGTAGTTTTTGTCCAAGTCAAGTCATGGTGGTGGGGGAACGGATTCCGACAGCTGAATTGTTGGCCATTGGATTCTGTTCCCATGTTTCTTACACAATGAGGTTCTAATATTTATCAAATTGATGCTGGCTTGTTTGCACCAATAGCCTTGTGGACAGTGCACTGACATATAGTACCATTGTGCTTCAGGTGGCCCGAGTTTGAGTCCCGGCTAGTGTACTATTGTTGATCCCGTCCCCCACCCGTTTTATTTAGTACAGCTATGTAGGAAATCGGTGACAAGGTAGGCCTACAACGGTCAGTTCTACAGTTTAAAAGGTCAACATACAAGTGGGCGCTTTTTCAGGACTGTACACTGTAAAATCCAACAGTGATTCTAACTAACACTTTTTAGTTAACTTTACTTAATGTCAGAACTTAATTGTAAAAATCTAGTAATCTGTACTATTCACATACTATGCTTTGTTTACTCGAACCCAAGATTAATTAATTGGTTTGAGTGCAGTTTTTGAGGAAAGGGAAATCTTAATGGACTTTTCACTCGTTTCCTCCACTTCTGCAGTTACTTTTCTCTGTTTGCATTCACTCATTTCCCAAATTCATCTTGAATGTTGAATTGTCAATACAACTGAAAAATTTGAGAGAACATCACATAAGCTGACTTCATAAATTGATTTTGATTTTCCTAAAATGTTTTTAGTCACCATTATGGTGATTAGTATTCCATTTGGTTGGGCACTTTGAACTTCACTTATACTATTGTAATTCTCTTCCCATTAATGCAACAAGTTATTTGGTTTCAAAGGAAGAGAAGTAATATATATATATATATATATATAAATTAGGGCTGTCAAATGATTAATCACGATTAATCACATCCAAAATAAACGTTTTTTTTACATAATATATGTGGGTGCACTGTGTATAATTATTTTATATATATATATAAATACACACACACATGCATGTGTATTTAAGAAAAAAATATTATTTATATATAAAATATTTATATTTATATATAATATAAATTATATCTAAATCTATATACATGAAAATATTTCTTAAATATATACAAGCATGTGTGTGTATTTATATATATAAAATAATTATACACAGTGCACCCACATATATTATGTAAAAAAAACTTTTATTTTGGATGTGATTAATCACTATTAATCATTTGACAGCCCTAATATAAATACTTATTAGGCTATTATATATGTATATGTATTTTTATGTATGAATGAAAAAATGATGTATAACATAACGATATTACATGTCAATTAATAATATTTTTATAATTTTGTTGCTAACACTTATGTCCTAAACACCTTGTGAAACTTTTAATTGGGTTTATATATTATAATATAATATAGTACCTCTATATTTGTGACAATCTTGCAATTGATCATACTAACTTGAGTCACACAGACTTCAACATTCAGCATGCAAAACACAACAATGATACAATTATATTTCATTTAAAGTAAATTATCAAGTACTCTCTACAGTTCTTTTTAGAACTCTTGTGTAAGTGAACTATACCAAATAAGCATGTGTCAGTACCACATACTATTCCTATTTCACTTTTCTTTTTTTCTTTTTTTATGTAATCCGTTTGCATGCTTTTTTTTTAAAGTAGGCCTAAGTCCAACTAATTAGATTTTACAGTGTAGGGAATTAACTTGTGAACAAATAAATAGTGAAGATATTTTTTGTCTTAATGTAATTAAAGCCCGACCTTAGCCCTAAAGACTTTTAAAGTATTAAACCAAATTAAAATCTCTCTATTTCAAAATGAACATCATGATGTCAAACAATGTTTACATTGAGAAGCATTAAAGCAACACTAAAGAAGATTTTTTATCTTAAAATAAAGTTTCCAAAATCGTTTCAGCGGTTCATCAAGTAATAGCAGGGTGAAAGGCACTTCTGCCTTCGCTTTGCGGTCCTAATCTGCTATAACCATGGCTATAACCGGCTATAACCCATAACCACACTATGTAAGTTTGCCAGAACGGGGCGCGTTTCTGTAGTTTGAATGAGACATAAGAAAACTACACATTTGACTTGCTTTACGTCAAGCGTTATAATAGTCATTAGTTAGTTTTTCTTTGTTTCTGAAGTCGCAATACATCATACTTTCGTGAAATCATGAAACATACTCTACCTTGTCTGTGGACATCGTTCATTCCAAAGCCGGTGCTGGATAAACAACGAGCGTGCATGCGTGCGACACCTTATACTGTTAATGGTGCGACAGTAGGCTGCGTTAGGTTCAATTATTTACGACAGCGGTAATGGACAATTCCGCCTCCAACCTGTAGGGCGACCGACCGCAGAGGAAAAGTTCTTTGGGTACTGTGTACTAGTGCCCACAAGATGGCGCTGTTTCTCAGTCGTCAGCTGACTTGAGTTGGAGGTGAGAATATTGTTGACTACACAGGTAAGGTGTCTAATTTTCAAGTCTAGAATATGCTGTTGGCCTTTAATTGTTTGATGTTTATGCAAGAATAATTATATATAAAATGCATGTGAAGTAGAATATCATTAAAAGGAGAGAGTGGAGAAAATGCTGCATCATCCCTCCTCCTGCTACTGCTTGCACACATGCATCCTCAGTGAGTCTTTTCCAGATTATAAAAAAAAAAAAAAAAAAAAAAACACTTCTGCCAGAAATGGAGAGGACGTTACGGAATGACGGGACATTTCCATTCACTGACTCTGAGAGAGACCTCTACATAAGACCTGCCTCCTCTAAATAAACCTGTAAAAACGGGCAGATACGGCAGTTCCAGCTCACCCTCTGCATCCCGCCAGCTCTCCTTCTCTCTCTCTCTCTCTCTCTGCAGACAGCAACAGCGTCCTGTGATTTACCCTGATGCTTTAAACTTCCAGTGACTGATCAAACTGGGATACGATCTGATCTGAGCCCACAACCACTTGACTTATCAGGAAACCTGTGCAAGTGTCTGTCTCCTGGATTCAGGTAAGTGGAGCATGGGCACTATAAGATTGTTTTATTTAAATGCATGTCGTTTATTTGTTTTATATCTTTGGTGGACACTATAAACAATTTTAAAAAAGAAAATAAAGGTATTGGCATCTATTCTATGAAGAACCTTTAATATAGAATCTTTCCATTGCACAAAAGTTTCTTTATAATGGAAAACGATTCTTTAGATTCTTCAAATATTCTTCACACTAAGATGAATGACTTTATAAATGAGTGTTGTGATCTTAATCACGACTCTGTTATTGAATAATTAAAGTGATATTCAACTATGTTGAGGAATATATCCAACTGGTGTTCAGATGTAATTCATGTAAATCCAACAAAGTTTGGAAATTGCTAACTAGTATGCTCTGTCATTCGTGTGCACATGTACAGTTGCGTATTTTAATTTTATAAGCGTGCAGTCTTAGTTAAGTTACTCTAATAAAGTAATTAATCACTACTAATTTCATCTTCAACAGTGTAATTGGATTACTGTACTATATACTCTCTCTAGAAAGTATTGAATTATACTCATTACTAATTACTTTCGAAATCCCATATCAACATTGACAAGTTGAACAATACAAGGATAGAGATGAAGCTGCTTTTTAAATTCTTTCAAATAAATAATATAAAAATGCATAAATGATTCTTGAACTGACTATTATTTAGAGTGAGAATGTTAGGCTATACATTTTATCATTAGATGTTACATTTTGACATTAAATTGTTTTATATATAATTGTGCAATACAGTATTTAATGCAATTACGCAAGTAAGAAAATTACAGAAAAATTCATTAATTCCTTACTTTTTCAAGGGAAGGGAAAAGAAAAGTAAATTACAGTAATTAATTTCTTAGTAATGAATTACACCCAACACTGTGTACACGTAAAAATAACATTATAACTTTAAACATGAGTGATATTTGGAGAATTCTCAACCTGATGATATTTTAAATTGAATAGTATTTCAGCCCTGCCCTGTTTCATGGAAACAGGAAAAACTAAAGCTTTAAGTGAGTTTTCCTTTATTTTAGGATCATTTCATGCACACCTTGCAAATTAATGTATATACTGTATATCACTCTCTCTTTTAGTTTCTCTTACTCTCTTCATCTCTCACATGCTCAAGCCATGCTGAGAGGTGAATTGTGGGATTCGGTGATTGCCATGGTGCTATGGGCCGCCTGGCTGCCCTCCTGTCTCAGCCAGACCCCCTCTCCATCTCATGATGGGAAAATGAAGTTTCGTCTGGCCGGATACCCTCGCAAACACAATGAAGGGAGAGTGGAAGTGTTTTACAGTGGAGAGTGGGGAACTATCTGCGATGATGACTTCACCTTGGCCAACGCTCATGTTCTGTGTCGTCATCTAGGGTTCGTGGAGGCACTAAGCTGGTCGCACAGTGCCAAGTATGGACCGGGCAATGGTGAGATAAAAGTAAACCTTATTAGCAAAATGACATTTCTATTGTAGTTTGTCGATTTCCTGCTTAGTTATTTTCTCATATCTGAAAACCAGATTCTGAAACCCCTGTTGTAAGCTTACCTAGCTGGTAAAGATCCATGTCCCTGCAGGTAAAATCTGGCTTGATAATGTCATGTGTGGAGGAACGGAAAACAGCATAGAGAAATGTGTGTCCCGAGGCTGGGGGAACAGCGACTGCACGCACCAAGAGGACGCAGGGGTTGTCTGTAAAGACGAGAGACTTCCGGGCTTTGCAGAATCCAACATCATTGAGGTAAAAGATCACTTCCATCAAATGCCATGCCACTGATGCTGGCAAACAGAGAAAAATAGCAATTTGAGAGCTGCATGATTAAATATTTATAGGCCAACCCGGATGTTTGCATCAGTCTAGTTCCCTCAACAAAAATGCATTAGGATTTTTGGATTGGCTTTTCTATTACTGCAGAAAATAAGCTTTGTGACCAACAACAGTTTATGATTCTTACAAGTTATGTTCATCATTATTGTCTTCACTATGAACACAACTTTTATATTGTATTCTAAATACAATGGCTAGAAGTTAATGACACCATGGTCTCATGACTTTAACATCACCACCGTTAAAGGGATAGTCCACCCAAAAATGAAAAAAAAAAAAACTGTCATCATTTACTCACCCAAACATGTATGAATTTCTTTCTTCTGCTGAACACAAAAGAAGATATTTTTTAAGAATACGGGTAACCAAACAGTTGATGGCCCCCATTGACTTCCATAGTATATTTTTCCCCCCATACTGCGGAAGTCAATAGGGGCCAACAACTCTTTCAGTCTTTGTTTAAAAAGCATTTTTCCTGAAAGTTTGAGTTGGAATAGTTTGCAAGAGTGTGATTATAAACACAATACGGCTGTGAAAGCGGACGAGTGCGTATATGAGTTTACATGTTTAGCCGATGACTTGTAATGTCCCCTACAAACTCTGTAGTCTCATTTAGACCCTTATTAGCAACCGCCTTTTTCAAGACAAGTAAAAGTAAAAAAATCACAAGGGGTATTACTGATGCATTTTGTAATAGAATAAAACATGAATATGAGAATATATTGAGCTTGTGTTCACCACAGACCTTATTTCAGCCATTTAACCAAAAACCCATTTTTTTTTATTATTTTTAAATTTGAGACAATGGTTCAGGAAGTGTTAAAATGCTAACTCGTTTTTTTTTAGTATTGTTTTCCTGGACAAATATGTTTATTTTTCTTACCCTACAGGCAGATGTTATTTTATTTTTTTAAGCATAAACTCATTTTTCAGAAAACAAGACTTAAAATCTTAAGTCATTTTGGTTCTCCGATAAATGTATCTTAAGAATGTTTATATATTTGTACTGGAAAACAAGTTGCAGTGATATAGAAGAGCATAAATGTGAAAATGCTCACTGAGATGGTGCAGGAGCAACGCTTATATCAAAGATTCAGCATATTGCCCTCTTCTTGATTAGTTGTCAATCATTTGGAGAAAATCTGATTATTTTTCATACATTTTCCCCCAAATTTCTTAGCATTTTTAATGCATCACCTCAAATTGTGTGGCATGTGTGACTGTTTACTTTTCAAAGCAATCCGATATGAGTTATTGTGACCTGGAGCCATAAGCAACCACCTTGCACCACCCAGAGCACCCTAGCAACTTGCTGTCATGTTTGCAGACTGCTTTTATCTCTTCACTTTTCCATCTCTCTCTCCATTTGACATTTGACTTTTCCCGCCTGTTCTCTCTCCTTCCTCCGCATAATGAGTGTCCACAGTCAGAGACACTCTGCTCCCGACTCAAAGTATTTACTCAGTTGTAAATTCATCTCTGATGATCTCCCTGGAACCACACCAGAGAAAGAGAGACAGATGTAGAGAAACCAGAGCTTGGAGAATTAGCGACAGAAAAGCAGGAGAGAAGAAAAGAGAAGGAAGAGTTGAGGGCAGGCAGAAGTGCCGTTGCTCAGTGGGCTATATGTGCCAGGTTTCTCCGTGTACTTGTCCGGAAGGCTGAAAGAACACTGAGAACACGAGTGGGTGTCAGACGAGCCACTGGAAACCTCTGCTGTTTGTGCTTCACCACACACAATCAGATGTGTCCGAGTTTACTGGAATGTTGCAAATTACTGATTTCACATCCAAATCTACAAATGTTTTCCAAAACACAGATTGAAAAGAAGAATGTTCTTCCCAAAGAACAAAGAACTTCCCAAAGTAATTATAATGTGCTCACTATTTGTTTCATAGAAATGCAAGCTTGCTTGAAACTGAATGTGATTTGTTTTGTTTTCTGCTGTTTTGAAATGTCAGTTATCTAATATAGTGTAGACTTATGACATAACTACACACATTGGGTTTTTGAGTTTTATGCATAGAAATAATATTTTTTTATACTGTACAAACTTTACATTGTATCCCCTAACTCTAAACCTAACCCTTAAAACATTACGCGTTTTTACATTTCAAAAACAAACAAACAAACAATAAGTATGATTTATGAACTTTTTTTCCTAATGGGGACTGAAATTTTGGCCGAAACTCTGTTAAACTTCCACAATGCATTGCACGAGAAAGCCAACTGGTATAGATGTGGTTTGCTGCTACTTTGCCGTGCTGTTTAGCCTTAGCTTAAAGGGTTAGTTCACCCCAAAAATTAAAATTCTGTCAGTCACCCTCATGTTGTTCCAACCCCGTAAGACTTTCGTCCATCTTCGGAACACTAATTATGATATTTTTGATTAAATCTGAGAGTCTGAGTGACTACAGTGGCTCAATCTTAAGTTTATCAAGCGACAAGAATACTTTTTCTGCACAAAAAACAAACAAAAATAACGACTTTATTCAACTATTCATTTCCTTCTCTGTGGGCCTCGAGATTTCACGTAGTGAAACTACGCAAAGCTTCTGTGTTGTACGTCACACGTAGGCTCACTATTGGCCGACGCTGGTCATGTGTGTGATGCGTGTGACGGACAACCTAGAAGCTTTGCGCAGTTCCACTACGTGAAATCTCGAGGCCCACAGAGAAGGAAATGAATAGTTGAATAAATTCGTTATTTTTGTTTGTTTTTTGCGCCGGAAAAGTATTCTCGTCGCTTGATAAACTTAAGATTGAGCCACTGTAGTCACTCGGACTATTTTAACGATGTCTTTCATAACTTTTGGGCCGGCCATTTTCGATCCCTTAAGAAGCCTATGGAGGAGTGATCCAGCTCTCAGATTTAATAAAAAAATATCTTAATTTGTGTTCCGAAGATGAACGAAAGTCTTACGGGGTTGGAACGACATGAGGGTGAGTAATTACTGACAGAATTTTCATTTTTGGGTGAACTAATCCTTTAAGAATCAGACCCAATGTCCAAATTCAGATTTTAGTTGATTGTCTCATGGCAAGGTGCTCAGCAGACTTTGTGGACTGTGCTGGCCAGACATTTGGAAGTGCTTGTGTAAATGGTGGAGAGAGTTTGTGTTCTAGCCAATGCTCAATGAAGGTGTGGTTTGGCTGCTTACCAGTGATCCAAAACCCTCATGTGAGATGACTCGTGTCCAGCATGAGCCAAACAGACGGACTCGTTTACTTAAAACTCTGCATGAAATTTAATTTGGAGATTTTAGCTGACTAGTTAAACAAATATAAGGCTTATATCTATCAGAAAGACGAACTGGACTTCATTGCATCTTCACCACAGACATGCACATACTTGAAAAAACACAGTATAAAACTGGTCTTGAAACCAGTATATACCCTATATCACATTTACCTCTCCTGATGTAGAGTTGCATTTGTTTTAGATGCAGGTGGATAAAAACCGTATGGAGAAGATTCGTCTGCGTCCCCTCTCAGGTGCCCATGCCGGCCGTATGCCTGTGACGGAGGGAGTGATAGAGGTGAAGTTTAAGGACGGATGGGGTCACATCTGCAACACTGGCTGGACCACCAAGAACTCTCGAGTGGTGTGTGGCATGATGGGATTCCCTTCCCAGAGAACTACGGCCAAGAAGCCAAGCAGGTAATGAGCATGTTTCAAGGATCAGAATATTAAAAAAACAGTATTTATCAAATGTTCGATTGAGCACCTTAAAGGAGAACTCCGGCGCAAAATGAACCTTTTGTCTAATAAAACATTGGTACCTAGTCAACCGTTCTCTGAGATTTGTTTTCATGATAATCGAATGTAAAGAGTTTTATCTCTAAAAACTGTTTAGCGTATAACGCTAGTAATGGGGGCATTTAATAAGTAAAAAGAAATCGCTAGTTAATACCACTAACAAGACTCAAAATAGCCCCACACTAACACGGTAACATAATGAGGGTCCCTACATGCAAAACGAAGCATTGAGAACTTTGTAAGTGTACAGACCGTTTAATAAGAAGATATTTTATGAAGACAGTCCACTTCGTGTATACAGACAGGAGCCATCTTTTATCATCTTTTAGAGATAAAACTCTTTACATTCGATTATCATGAAAACAAATCTGAGAGAACGGTTGACTAGGTACCAATGTTTTATTAGACAAAAGGTTCATTTTGCGCCGGAGTTCTCCTTTAAGGTGCTCAATATGATTAGTACAAAATGTAGTCTTTTAGTGAATTAACAACTATTGTCTATCAAATGGCAAACTTCCATGAAATTATTTTGAGATGGTATTTCACACACACATCTTACGCATAGTGGCCACAAAATGCATTTGGACACATAAGCTGCACTTAGAGCACCACTTAATTAGAAAAGAAAATATATAAAATATAAAATTCTCCAAAGCTGCTCACCAAGCTTACAATGAAATTAGAAATCATAAATGTAGTTTCTTATGCTCGAATAGTGTTCAAAAAGCGTAGTTTTTTTGCAAGGCGTGACTTATTCCGCCATATTGCGTTGCACTTTCTCCAATTCATAAGTAAAATGAGTGCACTTTGTTTGTATATCTAAAGTCTTTGTTTTTTTAGTGGACGTATGATGTCAGTTCTCCTTAAGCTCACACAGGTGTTCTAGCAGACTAACCACAGATGTCGTTTGTCACTTTACGGAACATGATCAACTAATGTTTAACATCTACTAAGTGGCACAACACTCGATGGCTGCATCTGAAATAGCATACTCTCTTGAGTAACTTAGGTACTTATTTTGAATAAGCAATTTTAGCGCAACCACTAAAAAAGTACATTAGTTACTCCACATCAGCAACATAAATTCATCAACTAACCATTTCAGAAATGCCTGTTGTATTCTACATGTTGTTACTTCTTTTTTGAGTCTCTCCATCATTGTCCGACTGCAGTTTAAACATAAAAAGGCAGAACAGTTTCTGACATTTTAGTGCTTGTTTCCCTGAGGTAATCAGAGCTGCTAACACACAACCTCTTGAAGCTCCGCCCTCTGTGCCGGGAGCAGCAGCTCATTTGCATTTAAAGGGACACACACGAAACGACGTGTTTTGAGCAAAAACTTCACATACACACTCTGGAGACATCAGAGACTTATTTTACAACTTGTAAAAAGGGGCATCATAACACCCCTTTAATGTGTGAAGTATTAATGTAATCAAGATTCAAGAATAATATAAGAATAATAAGATAATCAAGAAGGCACACTTCAAAATCTCATCAGAAGTAGTAGGTACTTGTTTTTGCCTACTCTTTAATGAGTACTGTGAATTCAGACACTTTTTTGTCACATATTGTTTTTGGCCTACTAGCTATGTAGTATAGGGAAGTATGCGATATCAGATGCAGCCGCCTTAACTTAAAAGCTATATTTTTATTGAAAAGTGTGCTTATTCTTTATTTATTAAATACAACTTATTTTTTAATACACTTATATTTTATTATACTTATACTGCTAGAGATTTGTTATATAATGTGGTGGTAGACTTGTAGTCGAGACCGCCTAAACCGAGACCAAGACACTACCAAGACCAGATGGTATCGAGACCAAGACAAGACCAAGACCAAGACCAAGACAGACCAAGTCGAGACCAAGACCAAGTCGAGACTAAGACCGAGACCAAATCGAGACCGGAGGGGAAAAAAACATTAGTGTTGAAGCTAAGCAATAACTTGTCAAATGTTGTTTCGCATTTGCCTGCCTATCTCTGCTGATTTCGAAGTCTCCAAATGAATCCATTCTGCAACTTTTAAATACATAATTATATTTTTAAAAACGAAATTATAGGCTTAAGTAAGAGCAGGATCCGAAAGTTGGTCGTTTTTGTCGCTATGGTTACACACACACACACACACACACACACACCGTTGGCGGTGCGCTCAAAGTCATCTGTCAGTTGTGCAGTTACCCAAAATCTCCTGAATGAAGGTAAAACCCATCTGTTGCATATAAAAAGGACGCTGGACAAGAGGTTAATGCACACAACTCACTTTACTTTTTGAAAAACCGGAACTCTCATTTCAGACCAAAACAGCTGCATACTCAACACATGCATCAAGGCGTTACCAAACGAACACAGATTAATTTGTCCTGAACGGACATAACATTTTCCCCTCTCTGGGGGGTTCAAATATGAAAGGTAGAAACATAGTCCCTCAGGTAATCAGGGCGTGCCCTCGCGCGCACTGGCCGTGGAGGACACACAGCTGAAGATGAGGTGAACAGTGGTGTGGAGGCTGGAGACAGGGGAAGCGGCGATGGTGATGGGGGTACTGGGTGTGACAACGAGGGTGTATCTTCAGGCTGTGCGGCTGATTGAGGTAAGAAGTCCTCCTGCTCTGCTCTGGGTGGCATTATGTCCCCGCTGTTCTGAGTTGAGGTTGCAGGAGGTGCTGGCACCTTCTGAAGGCAGCTGGCGTGCCAGCGGGTGCCATCACCTAGGAGGTATGTGGCTGGTCCCAGTCGGCGGAATACTTGCTGTGGATTGGACCAAAATGATGCCATCTTGTTCTCCCTGTGCGGTCGGCGAGCTCTCACCCAGTCTGCCACAGTGATATCTGGTATCCTAACCCTCTTTTTCCTGTCAAACCACTGTTTCATCCGCTTCTGACGGCGGGTGACTGAAGCTTTGACTGGTGTGAGTGTGTTTTGGACTGCAGTGGGGCGGAGCCTGTCCAGTGGTAGGTGTAACTCCCTACCCAGCATGAGTGAGGCTGGGGAAACCTCTGTGGTTGAATGCTTGGTAGCACGGTAGTGTAGCAGTGTTAGACGTATGGCTGGTTTAAAGGAACAGCCCTGAGCCTGATGTGCTCTGATGCCATTTTTTAGTGATTGATGGAAGCGCTCCACCCCGCCGTTTGCCTGTGGGTGATACAGGGCTGTGCGGATGTGTCGAATGCCCCTGTTCTCCAGGTATGAAGTAAACTCCAAAGATACAAACTGTGGACCATTGTCGGTGGTAATGGTCTGTGGAAGGCCCCAGCGGGAAAAGAGGGACTCCAGAAAGTCCACAATGACCTGGGAAGTGACAGAGCCGGTAGTGGTCAGCTCAGGCCATTTGGAGTGTAAGTCATACACTACGACCAAGAACCGCTGATAGTGGGGGGCACCGTGGATCTCGCCGCATATGTCTAATTGCAGATGCTCCCATGGCTTTGAGGGCCAGGCCAGAGGTTGCAGGGGTGGTGGGGGTCGGCGGCCGGTTTTTCCACTCACGAGGCATGCTGGGCATTCTTTAACGAGAGCCTCAATGTCTTTGTCTATGCCTGGCCACCACACCAGGTCGCGGCATCTCTGTTTAAGCTTTACTATGCCCAGGTGGCCCTCGTGTGCCATGGCCAGCACGCGGGCGCGAAGAGCCCGTGGAATCACAGTGCAAAGCCCACGTGCCACACATGTCTCATTCCAACAAGAGAGCTCCTGCTTGACCCGAGAAAAGGCCAACAGCTCCTCTGGTAGTTCTCTTGGCCATCCCTGACGAATGTAGGTGCAGAGCTGGGAGATGACTGGATCCTGTTCTGAGGCTGCCTTCAGTTCCTCTAGAGTGACCGTGGACTCGAGCGGAGTGTGTAGCATGTGAATAATCTCACTTTCGATGTGGTTGACGCTGGTGGGTGGGGCCTGGGTAGGAACTGACCGAGAGAGAAGGTCTGCAACGACATTATCCCGGCCCGGGGTAAACTGAAGAGTGTAGTTGTATTGGCGGAGGCGGTCATACCAACGATGCAGTCTCAGCGGCTTGTGGCCGGTGCCTGTAGAGGAGAGCAGAGCTGTCAATGCCTGGTGGTCTGTTCTCAGCGTAAACTGGCGGCCATAAAGGTAGAGGTGCCATCTCTCGCAAGCCCACATGCAAGCGAGTGCCTCCCGCTCCCCAACTGAGTATCTTTGTTCGGTTTGGTTCAGAGCACGGGAGGCAAATGCCACAGGCCTCTCCACGCCATTCTGTACTTGTGATAATACGGCACCTATCGCCATGGCCGAGGCGTCACAGGTGACCAGGGTGTGACTAGATATGTCAAAATGCGCCAACACTGGAGGTGAGGTAAGTTGAGCTTTTAGAGTTTGCACTGCCTTGGTGCATTCTAGAGACCAGACCCACGGCTCATCTCTCCGAAGCAGCTGGCGCAATGGGGCTGTTATGGCTGAATACTGGGGCATGAACTTCATGTAGTAGCCCGTCATGCCCAGAAATGAAGCGAGCTGGGAAGCCGAGGTTGGTTTGGGAACGGAGAGGATGGCCTCCACATTAGACTGAAGGGGAGAGATGCCCTCAGTGGAAAGTCGGAAGCCTACATATTCAATGGCCGGCACCGCAAAAACACATTTGCTGCCATTGAGGGTTAAACTGTGCTTGGCTAGGGCTTCGAACACACTTTGCAGCCGACTGTCATGGATAGCAGTAGTAGCACCATGTACCACCACATCATCAAGGTAAATAACCACACCTGGTATACCAGCCAGCACTGAGGTCATGACCTTTTGAAAGCAGGAGGGGGCGGAGCTAAGGCCAAATGGCATCCTCTTGTAGCGGAAAACACCGAGGTGTGTAACGAAGGCCGTAAGGTTTCTGCTTTCAGGGTGGAGGGGCACCTGGAGATAGCCCTCTCTAAGATCCAGTTTTGAA